AGGGTACGTACCTATGCATCATATTTGTTAATCATTTCTTTAGTTTCCTCTGAAAGAATCAAAGATTTTCAAAAAAAATTAAGCTTTACTTTACAAAAATTGACAAAAAACTAAAATTTGAGTAAAAAAACACTGTCCATATGGTGTCAGCTCAGGTTTAATGTTTAAAATTAATTTGATCTGATGTGGTATGATAATTGAGGTATGTATCTATGTATAGATGTAGTAATATAACCTACGTAGACAGAGAAACCTATAGACAAATTGACGCCTTCTTTCGCGTTCGCACACGAAAAAGATAGATTTATGCATACGTCTTGCATAGAAATGAGATAGAGCGGTGTTATTGTTTGTCCCTTTCTCCTTAGATCGCTACGATCTGTCAAAGTTGTTTAGCAAAATGTAGTTTGCTAAACAACTTTGACAGTTCGTAGCGATCTAAGGAGTTTACAAGTTGGTTTAAGTGAGAAAAAAGTGTTTTGTGAGCTTAAGATTGGTGAATCTTGTTCATTTCAGTTCTTAGAACAATTAAAAATTTTATCTAAATATGTTTGAAAGTCATACTTAAAGATTATTGTATAACCTAAAACTACGTAATCGTCCTTTCTCATTCGAGGTCACGCTAATCATTAGTCTATAGGTTTCTCTGTCTACGATAACCTATTATTAAAAAGCAAATTCTTTTAAACAAGCGCATACATCAATTTATTTCACAGAAACAGAAAATAAAACGAAAAAAAGACTGCTAGCAAAATTTTATTAAAAGTCGAATTCTCAAACAGAGGTGCAAACACATTGCGGAGCGTGGCGGTGGGCGTCCTCGACTCCGTCCGGTCTTCCCGACTTAGTAAGTGTCACTGTCTGCGTGCTGTGGCTCGTGCGTACGAGGCTTTACTGTCACGTGCCAGGCACGCACCCATATTAGCGGCATTCGCTACATTTCTCAGAAGATAGCCTACTATTCTGTTTTTACTATGGATCAGTGAGCCGTGTCGGTCACATCACAATCAGACAGCACTGCTTATCAAGACATACACTGCTGGTCACCTTTAGCGCAGAATTCTCATGTCTTCTTTTCGTTACGGAATTCTCGCAATGAAAAGAATCATCGTTCACAAGATAATAGATTGAATACCTTATCCCGCACGTCACTTGTATCCAATTTTATTCTGCCATAACAAGTGGGGATTATTGACTTCTTTCCTCTATCTCCAACGTATAAAAGTGTAGGCTTGCACGTTGCAGCAAATTGATGCCGAGTTGGTTTAGCGAGTGACGAAAACTGAAAACACTCTTTACAGTCAATTTATCATGCCATCTTTGTCCTCAGCCTCATGTCTTCATACGTCATATTTTGATTCTTAATAGGGGTTAGATATAAATAAGTGGTTACGGACCCATTGCTTAGGAACTACGTGTTTATTTATCACCCTTATATACATTCCTATATTATTTTTTCTATAAAAATATTGTAAAGCGCCAAAAGTAACATTAGGTATCTACATATAGAGATTTTTAGCACTATCGAGACATTAGTTGTTATTAATATAACAAGACATTAATTAAATTACAGTTTAAGTAATGCACTTAGAACGAAATAAAAGGTACAGCAATTACAGGTACAGGTACTAATAAGTACTAATTTATGCAGTTAATTTCAGCACATTCAAGTTGGTAAAAATAAATTGATTCAGATTTAGTGTCGATTTTAGTCAATTAATAATCATTACTAAATCGATTTGCTAAAAGTAATTGATATTTTTCTTCAAAAATTTATTAGTACCTTTGAGTATTCAACCAACTGGAGAGGCCATGCGCGTTAATTCCTGAACAAAAAGTCTGTCAATGTCAGGGGGGCGCAAGAAAGTCACACTTCTGTATACTTCACTACAAATGCAAAATTGCATCGCATACTATACACACTACAACATTTGTGTTTGTGTATTTACGCATATCATCAAATTGTAGGATGCACCAGTTTGCTATTTTTTTATTCTTATAATAAAAAACTGATTTTTTAATTTTATCTACAACCAATGACAAGTCGAGATTTAAGTACTGGGTTCAGTATCTAAGTACTATGAATACTCGAATCTATCCTCGAGTTTAGTTTATCCGAATTCCTAAATTTGAAAATTCGAGTACATGAGTACAAAAGTCTACTAGAATGACCGGAATTGGCACATCACTAACGACCACAGAATACATTACCTTAACTAACATCTTTTTAAAGAGTATCTCCAATAAAACAAAGACGTAGTGATTATACTTTAGTTCTTGTTAGGCTCTCTGTTGGAGCTCTAATTAGCGATGTGACGAGTTATTTTTTGAGTTGAGTTTAAAGTGGGTATGGCTACTGACTCAAGTTGCAACTTGAGTTGATTTAACACCTTGCTTCCGAGCAATGTGAGCAATGCAAGGTTAGCTGATAAGTAATGTAGGCGCAACACTAGTTGACTCGGTGTCTTTGTAATATGACGAGTTAAACGACGTGCGCACTCAGACGGTTAGCGCTCCTGTTAATTTCACAGTACGTGACCAAACCATTCGATCGCCACTGGTACCAATGAAGGTGTGCTCAGTGGTGAAAGAAAACATCGTGAGAAAACATGAATGGGTGAGAAATCAGAATAAAAAAATATGTCAGTGATATGTGAAGTTCGCTAACACGCATTGAGACAGCGCCGCAGATATTTCCTTACCCTAAAACCCTCTCAGAAATGACGGTAGACCCGTGCCCAGCAGAGGGACGTACATAGACGTTAACTTTAACTTTTAAACAACGTGCGCAAGCAAGGCAACGTGAAAGCTATTTCTATTTCATTCGATTCGAATTGAGTTGAGTGAAATGGACGGCGCGAGTCGTGACTCATGGCTGATGAGTACACCGTTCTCGTGGGATGCAAAGCACAAATTAATTCATATTTGTATCTTGCTACAAATATTTATGTTATTTAGCATAGTGAAGTAGGTTCTTGATCGCGGACCGAGTTGATTCGAGTTGTTAAAAACTGAACCAGATTAGACTTGCTTACGATTTGATTCGATTTACTCGAGTTAAAGAACGTTCACGGCAAACATTAATAAAATATAGTCTGTGTAATGAAATATATTTAATTGTATAAATAATAATTTGAAGTGAATTTTGATAGATAAAAGTGATGCCAGATATTAATAACAGTAACTTGAGCTCATCATGCATTAATAGAAAATAATCATTCCCAAACTACACAAAGGTTATTTATTACTATTATATTATGAATTTATTTTATTATTCTTCAAGCATATGAATATTTTGAAGAACCATGTCTGTGCATGTGAATTATTAGATGGCACGATAAAAAAAGTGCTTCATGGTGATTTCACATTACCATAGGAGCACTTCTCTCACTCACCTTAAGATAGTGTCTACTTAGGCGTCTTGAGATAATGTCGCTATCTACCGTCTGTTAGCTTAAGCTGTCATCAAAATCACCCATATACTTTACAATGTGACGTATCAACATATTGTGACGAAGGTTATAAACAAAAGTCTATTAAAACGAAGGTTTCGTATGAAATGAAGACGGGGCTTAAAAGACAGGCATCCAAGCCAAAAATCTTTAACAAATAAATAAAGTAAGTCAATGCTGCCAACATAATGAACTTTCCATTAAAACTGGTGGTTTAGAACATCCTTCTAGAGAAGAAATATTACTTTTAGTAGCTGATGGTATTTTCTAGTGGTCATTAGTTTCAACTAGTTAAGATCATAACCAACCATTAGGCCAATTATACCGTTTTGTATAATATTTCTACTTCATATCAGGAGTATTTACCTACTTTTACTGTGTAAAAAATTAATTATTCATCAGACATGACGTGAAGTCAAACGATACATTATGGTGGCTACACTATTCGATGGGATTTTTCGTACAATTTATTATAGTAATAGCTCCCTTAACTTAGTGTCGTACTTTTTTACGACGTCATACCCTAAACCCGCTTTTAACGCAAATGTTTCACGACTTTGGCTTTAACATTTAAATGATTGGCTCCAAATGATTGAAAATACTACGGGTCAAGTAGCGAAATGAAAATTTTGTGTAACAATTGTAAGGATAAAAAATATGAATTTTGTAAAACCATTATCATTCACTTCCATCAATGATAATGGTTTCACAAAAATGATTTATCTGGAGAATACGATTTATTTTAAAATAACACTACTTAGATCAAATAATATTTTTCTTTTATTAAATAACGTTACTTCCAAATTATTACTTACTCCTGTATTGTAGGGGGCAGCTTACATATACATAAATTTCACAAGGACAAACATCCTGACCTGGAACAATTATTTTTAGGCTATTCAAATACTTGTTAAGCAGTCCTCATTTTCAGCGCTGGCACTTGTCGCTGAGCCACTGCACCCTGTACCCCTTCGATCCGTCAGTGTAAATGTATTCTGTGCCTTCGATCAACAATAGTTGCCGGACCCGTCATTTTTCCACTTAATTGTATGTTGATTGACTGGTTATTTACATAGAAATGAAACAATTTATTACACAGTATGAAATAATAAAAGTAACCAATTACTATTTCTATTGTATTTTTTCGTAAAAAATAAAAATTTGTTTGGTGGAAAATTTAAGGATTATGTGAGTAGGTTCGTTTTATATTAGTGGTTTTAGAAGATGAATCCGAATCTGGTAGAGAGCTCGTTTAACTGTTGGCAATACTGATGTCATTATTCAATTCATTCAAGTTCTACCGAGTGAAGTCGATCGGACATCGAAACTGATTTTGTTGTTCATAAAAATGAGATAAACACTGCAGGGTAACGTGAAATTAGTTGAACGCTCTTTTTAATATTACTAGCTCACTGTTGTGTAAAAATTATGTCATCTGCACCCAAACAATTGTATAGTGTTCAATCATCGGTTAACGGTCCTTTGGGAAAACGAAAGAAATCCCGTAGTAGTAAGGGTTCTTATCTTTCTAAATGGCTGGACAAAGCTATGCGTCATATTGAAGACTCAACAACAAATATGGATCCATATGATTCGTTTGTCCCACCAAATATGGATTGGCCGATGAATAATTCCCATATCGGCCCTGGGTTCGATTCGTACAGGCACAACATCTACGGCTGTGTACCTGAAGCATCTCCCTTACCTGTAGCTTCAATGTATTATAATTCGCACATACCTCCTGCTTATAACCATGAATATCGATGCATGCATCACGCAAGAGCCGATCAAACGCGAAGACCGAGGTTAAGGAGGCGAAACGAAAATAAAGCGGAAGAAGTTTCTAGTGCTCCTATGGAAAACGTTGATAGTGTGTTAAGTCAGACCAATTATCTTCACCAAAAAAATGTTTCAGACAGCCAGGATTTTGCAAGTTTACCCCCAATAGTTACATCTGTAGGTGATACCAATTCCACCAGTGATTTAAATGCTGCTGAAAAGGGGAATACTGGTAATGCGAGGAGGTACAGTGATCCTTGTGTAAGAGGTTTACCAGATGTTGCACAGCCGGCAAATGGTGATCTAGATTCTGCATCAGAACAGAGCTCTAATTCATCAGATAATGAGGTTGGTAGCCGTTTGCTGGCTTGTCTTCTTGACCAAATTACATCTTTGAAAATGGCTAATGAAAAACTAAATAAAGAATTACAGGAAACAAGAGGTAAATTGTCAACAAAATTTATATATTTATAGAATGTAATGCTGATATGTAATATTGTTATAATTACATAAAGGCTTTAAATATAATTAATAGTATTTGAGTTTAAAGCCTTTGTGTTAGTCATATTATTTTGTTGTTCAATGAAAGTCTGGGTTACAAAAAATCATTATGTCCCTTTCATAAGATATTGGTAAATTAAAATATTAAAATTCTGCCATGTTGGAAGGGGGGTAATAGAATCTACTACAAGTTTACATCCTGTGGGTGTTGTAACAGAGGACAGAGGATATGTGAAGTGGAGATAGAAAGCAGCAACTTCATGATAAAACTCAAAATAATAAATAAAACTGCAGTTGAAAACCCTGCCGAGGTGGCAACTATGACGATAAATAACAAAGGGGCAATTTATGGGGTAGGCATAGCTAGGCCTTTAATGATTAGGTTCTTCTTAATGTGACATTGCAATCTTAAATTTACTTTTATTTCTTATAACCTTACCACCTACACTACAAATGAGGTCATATTAACATTTAGACTTCTCCACCTATGCATGAATGCCCACACAAACATGCAAGCAACTCAAGGATACCAAGTATTAAAATTGGATGTTTATTGAATATTGTTCATTTTAAATTTAGATTTTCTGTGTTTCAAAATTTGTTTAGCTTTGAATACATTTCATATTATTACCAAAATAAGATTTGAATGAACTTTTTGAAATATAAAAATTATAGCTGTGATACTTAAACAATTTAAAAAAAAATTCAAAATACTGCTGACCCGCGGTAATCTAACAGAAGTTTTGTAAGGCGGTGTCGGATAATAGAATTTGTCGGACTATAGAGTACTGCCACAGCCCCCTGGTAGTCTGGAACTTTTTGAAAAAGAGCACCTTGTAATCCAGCAGATTAAATATCAAATAATAAAATAAAAAAATAATTATTAATAAAACTAATAAATAAAACTAAATTGTACAACCAGTGCATGTTGCCAGTGATGACTTACGGATCTGAGACATGGTCCTTCACTGCTGGCCGTATGAGGATGCTTAAGGTCGCTCAGCGAGCTATGGAGAGGGTTATGCTCGGAGTTTCTCTGCGTGATAGACTCAGAAATGAGGATATCCACAGTAAAACCAGAGTGACCAACATAGCCCAACGGATTAGTAAGCTGAAGTGGCAATGGGCCAGCCATATATGTAGCTCGAAGAACCGATAACTGATGGGGAAGAAAGGTTCTCGAGTGGCAGCCTCGTACCGGTAGGCGTAGTGTAGGACGACCCCCCACTAGATGGAGTGATAACCTGGTAAGACATGCAGGAAGTCGATGGATGCAGGTGGCTCAGGACCGTGCTTTGTGGTATTACTTGGGGGTGGCCTATGTTCAGCAGTGGACCTGTGAAAGGCTGTAATGATGATGATGAAAATATAAAAATGTCATGTGATGCACAATGAATACCTAAACAGTAAATAATGAATGCCCACTAGGCCGCTACCATAGTTATACATTTGAACTGAGACAATGTGTCAAGTTAGATTTGTGGTGGTGCGAACTAATTGCAACTTTTTGTTTTTTGTTAATATGTGTATATGGCTCTCACGATACAGGTCTACGTGCCTAGTGTGAGAACCACTGCTAAATCATTTGTAAAGGTGCTAATTGGTAAATAAAGTATTTTCATTTTCATTTTTCATTTTCAACTAGTTTGTCCATGTTTCCCCTGTGGCGGATTCATAGCGCGACTTGAATGTACCAACAAGTTAAAGACATGTCGGATTACAAGGGGGGATGGATTAGTCTTGGGCCAGATTACCGAGGGTCGACTGTATATAAAAATATTATAGTATTTATCTGATTACAATCAAACATTGGTGAGTTGTGATCTCTCAAAAATTCTGACAAAAAATATTTGTTTGTGTGTTTCCTATGAGTTCTTATATCATACATCTAAATAAGATGGCATTTTTGTGAGTAATTCATGGGCATAACTGAATGTTTCTGTAAAAAAAAGTTGCACTACATGCCTGATACAGCTACTATAGTCACTAAGTTTAGGATTCGTTTTCTGTATTGAAGTATATCTGGGTGGAAAGTGGTTTGGTCTTCTGTACAATTTGCCAAAGTCCTTTCGTAAACCGGCTTATTTGGCAAGCTGGAAGTTATTGTGAAACAGCATGCAGAAGCTGTTTAGTAGGGAATCGGTCGGTAGTTCTTCAATTAAATGTTTTCGCCTTTCTTTAAGAACTAGACTACTACATTTTTGTTCCATGCCTCCAGAGTAGTGCCCCAATGGAAGACAGAATTGAATAGCTTCTGGAGGACTTCAAGTACCAGTTTTCCACCCACCTTCAGAAGCTTTATTGTAATTCCTTACTAATCTGGGGCCTTGCCATTTTGAAGAGGCTTGAGAGCCATACTAATATTGCTCAGTCTGACGTCTGGGATATTATCAGAATTGTGTCAGATGAGACCTGCTTTTAGATTGTTACGTACACTAGCATGTGGCCCCAACCATTATATGTGTAGTTGTCCGTAGGACCTCGCAATCTCACTTAAATTGTCAGTTATGTAAGAAATGACTCTGCAACCGTCATCCTTCAACTCTTATAGTTGGCTCTTTCCAGTACACAAATCCCTGGCAATAATAATTTCAAAATAATTTCTTGCCTTACAGCTGAATTAGATGTTCTTCGACATCAAAGTGCATTCTTACATAACGCCTCTACCCCGGGCCTGGGTGCCGCAACGAACCCTCTCAACAATAACGGTATGTATTTTAATCTTTGAACTTACAACTGCTGTTGCCATAACTTCCCCACTTGGGCACTAAGAGGGATTGCAATACCTGACAACATATGCCATTGATACTGAACTCCTTTGCCAGTTTGATATAATTATCTGGTGTTAATAAGAGATGATATTACTACCACCTAATGGTGATCCCAAAAAATCTTTGACATTTTTCTATGTTGCGTTTTATTATTATACTCACGCGATGTATCAGGTTTCTCTAATACATCCATCAGACTACGAAAAAACTATTGAATAAACGGTTTTAGGATTCTAAAAAGTATAAAAGTAAACACTGACTTATTATCGCATATTAATTGCTTCTGAAGTCGGTCCAGAAGACATCGTATCGAAAAGTCAAAGCTCCTGATCCACCAAATATGAATATATTAGTATACTTATGGGCCATTCATTAATTACGTAAGGGTGGTCTTGACGATTTTTGAAAATTTCTCGAACCCCCTACCCCTATGTAACGGTGCATAAAATTTCCCGAACCCCCTCCCCCTCCTCTTATTACGTAAGATCCTATCTCTTTTTTCAGAATAATAAAATGTGAGAAAAGGATCAGTTACACTAAAACTCACAGTTTGACGTAAATCAAAGATATTAATTTTTTCAACAGATAATTTAAGCTATACCAACCAATGATTTCAAAAGGAAGGATGGGCCTATCCTTCCTAAGTATCTTAATATTTTGCTCATTACTTTTTCATACAAGAAAAAGTAGCCCATCTGTCATAATACAAACGTCATATCATAACAAGACGTAACCAGGGTCGAATTTCATAGCATAATTATCCTAATTGTACCATTATTTCATAGTTTGTAGTATATAATATCGTAATAATACTAAGCGAAAATACGATAATTTTACCTAAACGTCGACTTGTATTATATTATTGGGCCTTTTTACTTCTTAATATTAACCCTACGATATTGAGATTTTCCGTATTGTACATGAGTACCGCGTTTTTTTTAATAAAATTAGAATTAACTCCCTTTCTGGTCAATTGGTAAGCGATCGATGCATTTATGTTGTATCCTTGATACAACTATAATGAGGAGCTACCACGATAAAAACTCTATGCTCCAGAAGCAATCAAGTTTGAAAACAAAATTTCAAAATATTTTGTGAATCAGATTTTCAGATTCAATTAAGCAGATATGGTTTCTTTTGTACTCTTTTCGTTTTACCCTTATTGAATATATTAGGTACCAATATTCAAAATTTAGCTTACAATAAGTTCTTTAGACAAAAATGAAACAGAAATAAAAATAGAACCATCAAAAAAACGAAACGTATAAACTAGACGCGTGACGCCAAAATCCCGACACATGGAAAAAATAAACATGAAACGTCAAACGTGATATAATATTTTGAAAATAGTATAATTTTATTTTGCATGTACAATATTTTTGAGGGTCCGAATCCAACCCTAGCCCAATCAAAAAAAGAATGCAAAAATTACGATACAAAGATTAAATAGGAACATGGGCTATCGTATCATCGGTAAATAACATTATATTAATTTTGTTACAATTAAATTATTATATAATGCATTTTTAAAGTTTTATTTTACAGGTAGTTTAGTTGCGTTAGTTTAGTTACGTTGGTAACTAAACGTTTGCATTCTTTTACCACGCAACTAGACAGATTTATGACAGGCAAATCTGTCCTGCGCGAGCACCACTGTCGACCGATTGGCGTTGGTACTAAACTGTTATTTTAGAGCCAGCGCACTGGTCCGTTTTTATTGTTCGGTCGGCCCGGTCCTTACGCTAGTAATATATAAGTCAATGATACCAACTCTTTTATTGTTATCAGATATACATTACCATTATGTTATTATTAGACAACTAGTTGATATAGTATCTTGTCTTTGTGTACATTATAGAATGAAGAAAACCATTTGGTATTCGAAATGGAATTAGTTTTATGACTTAAAATTTTACGTAAAGAATGGTTTAACCTCTCCCCTCCCCCAAAGATAGTGAAATGTAGAGATTCCCCCCCCCCAATGAATGGCCCCTTATTACATTAATTAACATGATTGAAGTTTGACTCCTAAAAGACGAATTTCTGTCATGCCTGCATCTGGATTTCTGTTAAAAATTGGCCATGAGAAGATTGCAAAGAGATATTATCAATCCTCGCACGAGATAATACGGTCTAATAAATAATATTATGATGTTTCAATGTGGAAAAAAAAATCAGACATGTTTCTTCATATTACCTTATATGAATCATGTTTCAGAATAGGTAATTTCATTCCTCAAGTTACTGTAGTCAATCAGTTTTTGTAACACAAAAGTCTCTAAATAATATTAGAATTTTTCTTAGAATTACGACAGTGTCTTAAAACGTGCACGCATTTCATTGAAGAAATCAAAGAAAACGAAAAGCAAAATATGATCTGGGATAGTTTTATAGTTTTCCCTTCTGACCTATATACCCAAATGTAGATATAGAGTTAGTTTATAGTTTTTAGTATTATATAAATTACAAATACACGTTAATAAATAAAATATGGTCAAAATAAATTAAGTAAAATCAATTCAGAGAGGAGCATAGTATATTGTTACCTAATTTGTATTTAAAACATGATTAGATATCAAACTCTACATTTGCTGCACGTGCTTTAACCTTTAAACTCTACCTAATTGGTTGTGGTAGTTTCTTACGATTTTCTAGTAACTACAGAAAATCTTCGCGTTTCAAAAAATAACTTTGAAAGTAACATACCGGTAGGTAAAGGAATAGTTAACCTGGTAAAATTATTCTTATTTAGCTTGGTAAATTAAAAACATTTACCAAGTTAGATAACAAACACCAACGGCCTATCGTAAATGTCTAATGAGTCCAAACATTTTCCTATGTTTCCTTAGTCTGTAACTAGTGTTTTTTTTTAAATTTTGTACTAAAAGTATATATATCACTTCTTTTATTCCTACATGTAGTCTAGCTCATCGGGAGCTGGAACAACAGACACACAAACATGAAAACGTGGTAAAAATTCATATGAGCCTTTCCCAATTATCCTATTGTAGTAATGATTGCTCGAAATTGCCACACAGTTTCAGTTCACTATCAGAGCAGATGCTTAGCAAATCCTATGCTGCACTTCTTTGCTAGGACCAGACTGTCAGGCTACTCAAACTGGCATCTATTATTGGATCTATATATATGTTGTTATTGTAACATCGTAACTAGGTTAAATATTGTAATATCACCCAGATCTTGTAAAAAAATATAAACAAGCATTGAATATTAAGAAAACGTATGAAAAAGTAAAACACTTTCTTACGGCAAAAATTTTGCGACCTTGACACTACATTCTAACACTGACGTCAGACCAAACGATAAGATATAATACTCGTATCTTTAAACACTACTGACTTGCTTGTTAACAAAAGCGCGAGTAAAAACTTTAAATGGTTCTATTTTTTATTCGATGACGATGAAGATGAAAGTAATGTCGAGTATATCCGAAAACTAAAAGTACTTTCTTACATTTTATTACCTTGTTTATTTATATATTCGTACGTTTATTAATTTTAATAAGATGCATAAATAATCCATAAACAGGAATCTTATACGTGGTGGAACCACTCTGCAGATATATTATGGTTGTAGCGCGAATGGGTCGGCGCGAACGTGAAAGGAGCACACTCTCATAGAATACCAGCGTAAAGTAGCAGCTTAATACTGCTGTGCTTCGTATGGTGAGTTTAGAATCCGGAGACTATTTTTTACAGGAAACGAGGCATTAAATCATAGTCCTCAGGGTGGACAACGCACCTGCATTTTGATACTTAATCGAGGATAAATGTCTGTGGACCACAGCATCCACTTACCACCAGGTGGACTATGTGCTCGTATGTCACCCTTATGCTATAAAAAAACTTAACGCACACAAAAAATCAAAATTGTTTCAGTTTTCGAATTTTAGCGAGATTTACGCGTATAGCAATTGATTATTATATAAAGAGATTTTTATATTAAGAAGTTATAATTTAAAAGATTCAATTACTTTTAAAATTAAAGTATAAGTGTTTTAATAAAATTAGAAAATTAAGAATCATTTGTAGTCCACGAACTCCACACCCAAGTTTCTACATCATTAAAAATTTAATGACTCCATTCCAGTATGATTTTATGTGGTTTTGTCCTTTAAAGAGAGTACGTAATAAACATTTTTCATGTTTTTTTTTAAAAATAAGGTAAGGATGACAAACGAGCACATAGTCCACCTGATGGTAAGTGGATGCTGTGGCCCATAAACATCTACATTTAACCTAGGTTAAGAATCAAAATACAGATGCGTTGTCACCCTTGAGGACTTAGATGGAATCCTCGATTCCAGTAAAACGGGTCTCCGGTTCTCTACACTCATAATACGAAACACAGCAGCATTAAGCTGCTATTTTACGCTGGTATTCTGTGAGAGCGTGGTCCTTCCCCGGTCGAGCCGACTCATTCATGCTACAACCATAAAAGCTGCAGCGTGGCTCTACCACGTGTACCATTTTTATTCAAGATTATGCCGATTATTGGTAACTTTAAATATACCAAGTATTTTTATCTCTGTGTATTGATTACACATACTTAAATATAACGGTAATGAAATTTGACACTTATATAGAGTTTCAGTATTGGACGATTTAATTTCACACAATCCGTTACGCCTTTCATCTCGACTCGTATTAAAATTTGTCCTCGGAAAGTTTTCGAAGTGGCCTCATCAATTTTCGCACGAGATAACACGCTCTGAAAGGTTTAATATATTATATTTGGATGTGAAAGAGAATTGACAGATTGTTTCATATAATTTATTCAAGAAATTGCTTGGATGTGAATCAAGTCACTTCATTTTATAAAGCATACTTTTTTTTTTTTTTTTTTTTTTATAGGATAGGGTGACAAACGAGCACACAGTCCACCTGATGGTAAGTGGTTGCTGCGGCCCATAGACA